GCAGGCTGCACTAGCTGCTTTTTCAGGGAATCACCATTTTTAAAATTCAAATAATGGCAGATTCACATGCAGCTGTAAGAAGTAACAAGAGAAATCCTGCCTACCCTCTTACCCAGTTTCCTCAAATGGTAACATCCTGCAAAACTAGAGACCGTCACCACAATCACGACACTGACACAGCCAAGATACAGAACACTTCCATCAACCCAAGGGTCCCTCCCCAATGTTGCCCTTTTATAGCCACACCTACTCCCCTCCTGCCCCCAGCAACCACCAACTCATTCTCCATTTCTATGATTTTAAGGCCTTCTTCTTAAGGTAAAATTTACCAAGCCAGGAATTACCTGGTGACTGAGGCAGCCAAAGGGGCAAAACTTGCATTCGGTCAACAGGTGAAGAGGATTTTAGGTGTATTTTAAACAGCTGGGAGCCATGCTGTTGAAAATGGAAGAAGCACCAGGAAGTGAACAGCAGGGTATTACTTTAAAGATCAAACTGAAATCTCAGAATTTCAAGCTCAGGATCAATATGGCCTTGCAAGTGGATGAAGTTCAAAGTACAGATGATAATTCTCAGGAACCACGTGAAAAACATTAAAAAAAAAAAAAAAGGCCAAATGACAGGAAGTCTCCATGAAGACATTTTAATGGCGGCAGATAGCAACTGAATAGCCTTCTCATACCACACTGAGATGACTGACTTTACCCTGTCAGCATTTGCTTTGGTAAAGAAAAAGAAAACCGCCATTTAACCCAACCACTAATAAGTACCCTGGACTCTAGAGGCTACCAAAAGTCCAAGTAAACAGTCACCTGTTACATCGTCAGCAGGGGCACGGTCTTCAGAAACTGCACACACTTCCTCTTTCCTGTAACTATACACACACTTGCAGAAAAAGAAATTCTTACCACTTTCTACTTTCCCAAAGATGCATTTTTCAGTAATGGCCAAGGTACTTTACTACCTTTCACCAAAAGGAAGGTTCGTCCCTCTCACACTCTCTCCCATCATTGCCTATGATGAGCACAAGTTGTTGCAAAGTGTTTCTGTAACTTTCGGTTTCTTCCCCACCACAATGTTTAGACTCTTATTTATAACAAAATTAATGGCACAGGTAAAGAAAAACTACGTTTACTTAAATCCATTAAAATTATTTTTGGTCAAAGAAACAGAGACAGTAAAAGATACCCCAAAGAACAATTATAAAACTTCCACTGGGCCAAACAACAAAGCATTCCTTTCTCCCCTCACTCCTCCACTCCCTTTAAGACACCTTTATCACATGGTATCAGAATGCTAATTTTAATGAATATCAACAGGAAGGGAAATTCTGGAAAGAGCAAGTCAGTTTTATACCCCTAACAAGATGCTAAGTTAAAAATGATGAAGGATTTCAAACTGTAACTCATTAGCATCTCTTTTCAATAAGAGACTTCATCTTGTCGGCTGGACTTGACCTGCCTGGATACCTTAAACCAGTGGTTCTCACACTTCAGCCTGAATCAGAATCACCTGGAGAGTTTGTCCAAACAGATTGCTGGCTCCATCCCCAGAGTTTGATTCAGTAGGTCTGGGGAAGGATCTAACAATATTCGTTTCTACCAAGTTCCCAGGTGATGCTGATGCTGCTAGTCTGAGGACCACACACTTTGAAAACCACTGCTCTAAATCTAGAGACTCCCTCCCAATTTCTGCGGAAGTTTTCTCTAGAGATCCCAAAAGGGGCCTTAGCAGAAAATAACAAGTTTAGGAGACCTATCTTATGCTTAAACTGTTAAATTGCTCTTTGAAATACTTTATCTGAGGTAAAATAGTTACACAGTTCAGAGAGTAATTCAGTGTTGAGCTGCAGTGTCCGCAGCTTAGACTTCCAGACCCCTTTTTTCCTATTTCACGGAAACAACAACCAGGTGTGCGCCATGCTACATTATAGAAGGAAAATGCCTACTTAACTCTGGGATTGTGAGGGGTTGAGGCCCCACTGCACTTTGATTTAGAGGGGCTTCTCCCCATGAGGTGCAGGGGCTGCTTCACGGTGGTCTCTGGAAGAAGTCCAGTTACTCATTCCCACCATATTTTCACTTCACAATATAAAAAATATAAGGAAAATCCTGATATGTTCAAATTCAACAGATATTGGCCTCACGGTTTTTGAGAACTGGTCTGTGCACGGCTCACCAGATTCCTGGCTAAGGCGGAGGATGGAATGATACTTGTGGAGTCTCAGAATGCCCTGTTTTAGCTGGTTTCCCACCTCCTCCCTATCAAGCCTTTTACACGTAAATTATTAAGAGCAACAAAAGCACCTCAGCGTTAACTTTTAAAAAATCCTTTCCATCTATGTCAGATAGTAACGGCAATGAAATGGACACGAAAGGGAAGATGATGGTTGGAGGACATAAACAAATTGAAAGCTCATCTCTAAACAAACAAACAAAAAGACCATACAGAGAAACTAAAAGAAGTATTTTCATTTAACAGCAAAAATGTATTTAACCATGCTCACTACTAAATGTAGAGATGTTAATAATAAACGTGGTCCTTGCCATCATGGAGCTTGATTTACTATCCTGCAAGGAAGACTAACAGTGGCAAATATAAGTGTGTGAAGAAGATCAGGAAGAAATTCAAATTGCTACTATGGGAGACACAGACAGGCATGCGGGGGGGGGGGCGGGGGGGGAGGTATCAACAAAGGCTTCTCAGCAAAGTTGGCCTCCATTAAGCTTAGGCCTGAAGGATAAAGAAGAGTGAACTAGGCAAAGAGGGAGGAGAAACGAGGTACAGAGGAAGAGTGCACTGAGTGTCCCCATATGACTCAAGCACAAGAAGCATGGAAGGTGGGAAAAGAAGCTGGCGAGGTGGGTGAAGACCAGAACACAGAGCTGTGTGTAAGAGCAATGGGAAGCAGGAAGATTACATGGCCACAGCGCGGATCTTCAAAGAACACTCTCTGTAGTGCACTGGTCCCCAGCCGCCGCAGCGTGAGATGAAATGGAGCAGAGTGGAGGAAGGGGTGGCGGGAGAAAATGTATCCACAGTGTTTTCTCAATACTGAACCTTGGCTGTCTGACACACAGGTCACTTAATTTACAGGGACCTCAGTTTTACCATTTGTGAAGTGGGATTAGAATCTTCCCCGTGTACCTCTTAAAGTTACTATGGGGATCTAAAAACCAAGTACCTAAGCAATCCTGTTTGTACATATTACACACTAAAATTTACATCACAGTGGGTGTGACAAGCAGTAAAGAATGTCTAGATTAGAACAAGGAGAATTCTGCAAGATGGCTGGAAAAAAGCAAGTATAGTCCTAGCCATGAACAACTGTAACAAGATGTAACTTTCAAAAGGATACAATAAAACCCAAACAGTTACCTAGAAATCTAAGAAAAGATGTGCAAGAACTTTATGGAAGAAACTTAAAATACCTAAATAGGGCTTCCCTGGTGGCGCAGTGGTTGAGAGTCCGCCTGCCGATGCAGGGGACGCGGGTTCGTGCCCCGGTCTGGGAAGATCTCACATGCCGCGGAGCGGCTGGGCCCGTGAGCCATGGCCGCTGAGCCTGCGTGTCTGGAGCCTGTGCTCCGCAGCGGGAGAGGCCACGACAGTGAGAGGCCCGCGTACCGCAAAAAAAAAAAAAAAAACCTAAATAAATTTAGAAAAATACTGCGCTCAAGAAGAGAACTATGTCAATCCTTCCCCAAATGAAATCAATGAAATTCCAGTAAAATCTCCAGAGGATTTTTCACAGGCCTTGACAAGGTAATCCTAAAGTGTGTAATATAGAAATCACACATCAATGATGTTGAATGAATATAGCAAATTGTAGAAGGTTACTCCAATATCATTATATAATACCTTTAAATATACAAAATTGACAGTACATACTGTGAAGGATTCAAACACATACAGAATTGCTGTATAAAAGCACGCATGGGAATGATGAACTTCAAACTTAACCATCAAATTCAGGACAGTAGTTACTGAAGGCAACTGGGTGGTGGATACAAAGATGTTTATTATATTATTCCCTAGTCCTTAAAAACTCTTCTTCAATATTCCATAAGAAACCAGAATGCCTTTTATTTGAGAGCCATGTTATTACAGGATCTAGCTTAGTAGTTCCCAAACACCAATCCAACAGCTCCCATCAGCCCCACCTGGAGTACCTGTTAAAAACACGGATTACCAGGCTAGGCCAGAATCAGAATTTCCGGGGGGGAGCCACGTGAATCTAATGCACAGCCTCATTTGGGAACCCTTGGTAACCAACAGCTATTAATAACTAATCCACCAACAAAATTGGTTCCAATCTGACAATGAGATATTTAGGGTCTTGAGATTGCCTGATCACTTTCCAATTGATGCAAATGTCTAGAATGCGGACTCTAATTTGAGGGCAAAACCAAGTAAATTTTGAAGTATATCCTTTACTGTGCTTCTCCCCCTGCCCACCGGCCAAGCTCATATATGTAAAAACTAAGAATATCTTATAAAGTAATAGTATCAAATGATTCCACAGCAGAACATAATTCCTTCATATCTTCTACAGGGAATATGCCATAGTGAAATTCCACTGGAGATGATAAAAATTGCTATTTTTAAGGATAAAGTTGCCAAGTCACTGGCAACTGCCCTCAAGTAGGTAGACAGTAATGCCATGCTTCTTTCCTTTCCTGTCCCTCACAATAAAATCATAGCTAAATTTGTCTAGAGAAATGCACAGAGCCAAAGGGAAACATAAAGAATAAATTTAGAAAGAAAACAATTTATTACAAGTTAGAGGTATTAGTACCGGGATAACAGTTTTCACAGCCCTGCTCCTAAGAAATAAGATTAACTAGAGACTATGCTGTTAGAACGTATGACATATCAAGGGCGGACAAATGTAACTTTTCCCCTAATATTTGAAAATTACAACTAAAAACATGGAAAGGAATGATTTTGAGAAACAATACAAATCTGCTAAACGCATCAACATAAAAGGGCTCACTTACCAGGGCTTTCTACTCGCTTATAGTGGTAGGGATTGATGCACACCTCCTTCTGCTTGGAACCAAAAGGAAACTCACAGCATTCCAGTGGTTTTAGTTCATGGTGGCTCTGAAGGTCGGGCCAGCGCCACACACGGCAGTAAATGACGTGAGGCAGCCCCTTCCGGTGGGAAACTTGCAGCCTGCCGTCCAGGGAGCGGGGAATGGTGACACAGTTACTGGGCTGCCCCGGACAGCTCAAGGCCTTTTCCAGTTCCTCCATGGCACCTTTCTTTTTCTTCAGTTTTTTCACCAAAGCGTCAACAGCTTTCTCTGCCCATTTTTCTTCTTCATCACCCTGTTTCCACCCAAGAAGTCTCTTCACAGCTGGACTTGTGAAGGAAAACAAACTTGTCACGTTCATGATGGCACCACGTACACTCCTTGTGGATGGAGAAAGAAAGACGTCCCCAAATGTGAAAGAAGAGCAGAAGAGGTTTCACTTTATTTACATAGGATTCTCCTTAGCTTCTTCGTGCTGAGGTCCTGAAAAGTAGAAATCACCATTCCTAGTGTTTTCAAAAGTAACCCAAAGTCAGCACCTAGAAAAGAAAAAAGGGAAAAAGATGTTTAAAATCACCTCTAGCACAAAATCACAATTTATTAAACAATTACCATGGGCCAGATACTATTTTAAGCACTTTTATGTATTACAGTATGCTATGGGCTGAATTATGTCCCCCCCTAAAACTAACGTTGAAGCCCTCACCCCCAGTGTGACTGTATTTGGATATGGGGCCTCTAAGGAAGTAATTAACATTAAATGAGGATGGGGCCCTGATCTAATTGGATTGGTGGCCTTATAAGAAGAAGGGAGAGATTTCTCTCTCCCTCCCTACATGTGCACCCACTGAGGAAAGGCCTTCTTCATAGAGAGAAGGCAGCTGTCTGCAAACCTGGAAGAGAGCCCTCACCAGAAACCAAACTGGCCAGAGCCTTCATCTTGGACTTCCTAGCCTCCAGAACTGTGAGAAATACATTTTTACTGTTTAAGCCACTCAGTCAGTGGTATTTTGTTATGGCAGCCCAAGCAGACTAACACAGTATTTAATCCTTTAAATAATTCTTTCAACTAGGTAGTACCATCATTGCCATTTTATAGATGAATAAACTGAGATGCAGCTTTAAAAAGGAGTATGTTACTGTTTACATGAGTTCTGAGATAGAAGCAACAGACCCCTTAGTGCAAAAAAAGTTCAAGTTCTCAACAGATATTGTGATGTTTTATATTTAGATTCATTTATAGGCTCTAAGATATATATTTCAAAATACATCTCAATCAACAAAAACTGAAAGCAAAAGGAAAAAATAAAAATGCAATAGTCTTAACATCTATTTTGGTCTGTTCCTCAAGTATGTCTTACGCTATAAAAAAGGTAGTTATATTTACACTATGTAAATGTAGCAACATTTTAGGGTATTTATTCAGTAAACCAGTAAACAAGCCTATGCCTATGGGCTATCAGGCAAGTAAGGTAGGAAATTTACCCCCTACTTTTTCAAATTTGCTTTTTATTTACATGAAAGGAATGAAGCACGTGAACACATACTGTACCAAATACTTTTGTCAAGTTGTCTCATTTAAACTTTCTAGTTACTCTTCACCAGATAAAAACACAAACAGTGAAAAAGATTAAAGATGATAACTTTGTACCAAGTCTGGATAAGATTCAGTAGCAGGTATCAAACCAACCTCCTCCCCAAAGTAACTATAAAAGCTGAATAAAATACAAATGAACAAATCAGGGGGAAAACCCCCCAACTTTTTAAATGTATCAAAGAGCAACCAAAGTACGCAGGACATGAGGGGCCAAGATGCTGGAGAGATGTGAAAAGCAATGAAATAATAAGCTGAACACTCTTCATTGCTTTTCTTCTCAAGGCATTTAGTTGCCAATGCCTGTGCTGTGAGTAGCCAAGCAGAAAGAGGCTAAAGAACCAAACAGAGATTTCAGTAGTCTCATAGTGCTGAGGAGACGAAAAAAAAAGAAAAAAGAAAAATGGAGTTGAGGGCCTGGTAAACATACCAGACTTTCAGTTGAGACCTCTGAAGAGGTATGCCCTAGTGTGCAAGGGTAAAACTGAAATGGACCAGTGTTTACAAACACTGAAACACAGCCTAGAATCATCTTAATAGAATCGTCTTAATACTAGACTGGAACAAGATGATGGGAAAAGAGGAAAGAAAAACTGTGAGAGAGGAAATATTTGTAGATACTGGCCAAAGATATTCCAAAAGTGACAACAGATGTCTAGCCACAGATTCATGAAGGCCTACAAATCCAAAGAAGGAGAGATGGAAAGGTATCCACAAGTTTTAATGCGTCATATCACAGTATAATTGCTGAAACCCTACCACAAAAGTCTTTAAAAAGACACAATACTTTCAAAATGAGTACAATAAGGCTGACAGCTGACATTTCAACAGAAACAACGGAAACCAGATGACAGTGAAATGACATCTTTAGCCTACAAATAAAAAGCTGGAAACTCAGAATTCTATACTTAGTGGAGAAAAATCATTCAAAATGACTGTGAAATAAATATGCTCTCCAACAAACAAAATCTGAGAGAACTGGCTTCCAGAAGGAATTTTCAGGCACAAGGGAAAAGCAAGGAACTGCAGGAAAGAACGAAGAGCTCCAAAAGGGTACTGACTTTACAGAACAATTATAGGAATGTCCTGTGGTGTTTAAAATACAGAATTAAATGCATAACAAATAAAGCAGAAGGGGTAAATGAAGTCAGATTTCTAAGGTCCTTGTCTACCCAGGTTGTGGTAAAGCATTAAAGTATTGTTGATATGTTATGAATTCATGTCATAATAAAGCAACAACTGAAAGAATTTAAAAACCATAAAAAGGTAATAGAGGAGTTAAAAATATGGAATTATTTTTTAAAATATGTTTAATCCAAAATAACTTAAGAAAAAGGAAAAAAGAGCACATAATAGATGGGAAAAATAGAAAACAGTAAGATTCACAGCTAATCCTCAAAGTCTCAAGAATTACTTAAATATCAAGAGACTAAATTTGCCAAGCAAAAGACTGGGGTAGGGGTGGAGACACCACTTAACTATACTGTACTTATAAGAGACACATATCGTCGAATATAAAGACAGAGAATGGCCAAAAGAAAAAACAATATGGAAAGAAATATACTATTCATATTCTAACCAAAAAAGCTCACACAGCTATCATATCAGGCAAAAGAAGCTGTAAAGTAAGAAGCATCACCAAGGATAAAAGAGGGACATTTCATAATGTTAAAAGAGTTGATCCACCACAAATACATCACGGTCCCAATTTTTTATCCAAGTAATCACAGTTTTAAAACACATAAAGCAGAAACTGACAGAATTAAAATGACTAACAATCTTAGTGGGAGATTAACACAGTAAATGACTAAACAAGTAAATAGAAATCAACAGATATAGAAGATTAACAGCATGTTTAAAAACTTGACTCAATTCGTGTATGCACCCAACAACTATAACATACGTAATACTTTCAAAAACACATGGAATGCTTATCCAAACTGACCATATAATGAGCCATTAAGCAAATCTCAACACATATCAAAGGAATAAAACCATACAGAATATGTCCTTTGATCATAATATAACTAAGAATAAATGCCAAAAGTATTGTTATTGAAAATAATTACACTTTTAAATAATGCATGGGTCAAAAAAGAAACTACAGGAGAAATTAGAAAATATTTTAAACTGAATGATTATAAAAATATGACACATCAAAACTTGTAAGATGTAGCTCAATCCATGCTTAGCAGGAAATGGGTTGTCTTAAATGCATATATTAGAAAAGAAAAAAAGCTGAAAACTAATTTTCTATGTATCTGTCAAAAGAAAAAAAAAGGAACAGCAAATTAAACCTAAAGACAGTAAAAGGAAATGAGAGCAAAAATTAAATATATATATACAAGAGAGAAAACCTATAAAATCAAAGTTGGCTCTTTGAAAATACGAATAAAGTCAGATATTCCTCTAAAAAAACCTATAAATCAATAAAAGAGAAGGCGCAAATTACCAATAACAGGAATAAAAGGGGGAAATCATTACTGATCCTCAGAACTCAAAGGGATAATAATTATGAACAGCTATCATAGCAAACTGTGCGTGTCTATAGCTACTTTGTGGTATAGACATACAGCTGTGCATGTCTATAGCTACTTCTTCACTAGAGGAAAATGACTCAGGAATTCTATCTTACTGTCTTCCTAACTTTGGAACCTAGCCCTGTAGCTGGCACATATCAGAGTCTCAATAAATGTTTGATGAATGATTTAGCTCCCTGAAGGAATCAGAAGGCCAAGTGTGGAGCTTTACTTATTCAACAGGCTGTAGCGGGTCCGTTGTTTCCTTTTGTAAAGTAAAGAGTTTTACCAGTGCTTTGAAGCTGGCGTTACTTTCGTTGAACAGAAAAAGAGAAAATAAAACTATGCTACCATCAAAAGTCACACTTGGTCAGAGTGTACCTCCTGAAATGATCATTTACTTTTAACTAAAGGTTAATTGTGCCAAAGAACAAGAAAGACAACTTCTTTTCCTTGTCCTCTAGCAACAATTTATACAAGGAATACATTTCTTCTTATTCTGTATGTCCTTTTCTTCAACTCCAAAAACTGCTTTTTTATATTTTGGTCAATGGTTTTCAAATAGAGGGGGTGAGTTTATATCAAAATCACCTGGGGCTGTTTCAAACTCTAGCACTGATGGGTTTGTTATAGAAGGTTAAGTATGTGGGGAGTTGGGGAGATTAAGGACCACCATTGCAGACCTTTGCTTTAGCTGCTCAAAGTGACATTCATTCAGCAAAGCTGCACTGAGTGCCTGCTAAGTACCTACGGTATCCACAGAGGATGGAAGCAAAGATGTCTCCATCCTGAAGAGCCAGTGTGTAAACAGTGAACTCTCTTGAAGCAAACTGGTTCCCCTGCACGCCAAGCTAAAGGACTGCTGTACTGCAGAGTCTTGGGCCAAGTGCAGACCTCAGCAGGAAGGAATGCCAGGACTGTAGCAAGGTGAACCCTGAGTGCAGGACTAGAAGAGGCGGCCCATGTACCATGCATTTGCCCACCCTGAACCAACAATAACAGTGTGCAAAAGCTATACGACAGGTATAAACGATAACGAATAAAAGCAGAAAAGGAGAGAACAGTTAATTCCAGGGATTTCAGGAAGTTTTCCCAAAGAAGAACTATCAGACAAGCATTAAACGATGAGTAGAATTTTGCAAAACAACAGAGCTAATATTCTGAGTGATCGTTACTTGATAGACACTGTTCCAAGCACTTTATATCTACTAACTAGTTTAATCTTTGTGACAAACCCTCTTTAGTGAACACTCTTATTTTCCTCATTTTACAGGTAAGGAAAGTGAAATATACAATAGAAAAGTTAAATAACTTGTCCGAGGTTTCATGCGCACAGTTGTAAGTGGTGGGGCCGGAGTGAACCTATGTTGTTTGGCTCTAGAGCCTCAACTTTTAAACCACTTTTGTAAATTACTTGTTCTCACCA